CGAAGTTGAACATGGTAGCGACGAGATGTACGAGCATTTTTTTCTTAAGAGCTGCATACTGATTTAAGAAATTTTTTATAGAAGAAAATTTATTTTCCATTTATTGTGCGTAATTTTATATGAATTTTTAGTTTTTCTTGAGTGCCTTTACAAATAAAAAAAATTTCGGAATATGTACATACATATGTACATACATACGCAGCCATATAACTTGATTTCAAGAGAAACGAATTTTCATTTGGAACGTTCAGAAGGCGAAACAGCTCAGTAACTGGTGCGATTGCACCTTCTGAACGCGTTGTTGCGTACTTCTGATCAACTGAATAGTTGCGTGTTAGATGATCGTAATATTTTTCTGATCATTTGAGACAACATGTTGGTGCGTACCTTTGAGAGTTGAATTTGACAGCTAATGTATGAAGTCGTTCAAAAGACGCATAACGATCACTGATTTTTGTTTAGCAACGGTTGCGCTCAACTGCTGCGCCTTCTGAACCTACCTATTGATAACTTTTTTTTTTTGATAACACTGCGACAGCTCAAATTGGTATTGAGCAAACCCAAATGCAAGATAGAGTTTTCGAATTTCATTGAGTTTTTTTAATAAATACTGAAATTAGAGGTGTATGAATGGCGAAAGAAAAACTTCATCCGATTTTTTTTAATTCGAAACTACATTTTAACATATGTACATATGTCCATGCATACATAAATATATTTAATATGAACCCATGGTTTCAATTCTACGCATATCGTCAGGGTTTTCCTCACAACTTGGTTTTGCTGCAGTGAAGCGACAGAACAAGTGACGAGAAAAAATATATGCGGACACTTACATATGTATATATGTATCTATGCACATACGTATCTATGCACATACGTATCTATGCACATACGTATCTATGCACATACGTATCTATGCACATACGTATCTATGCACATACGTATCTATGCACATACGTATCTATGCACATACATACATATGTACTTAGGTATGTATATCAGCATTTTAGTTGAAAGTACGTTTTGCTCGTCGCTCTCTTCATCGCTCCACTACATTCCTGTCCTTAGTTTTTTTCAAATACCACAAATGCGCGATCCAGAAAATTCTTCTATCATTCTTGCCACAAATGTATGTTTTCTTCGAAAATATTCAAGTACTACCAGTAGAGTACTCTACTGTCAAATACCTTTTACTCGCAGTAGTTGCGGAAGGCAAAGTAAATACTCTACGCGTGTTGCTATTGATCGGTAGTTTACGTACGCTTGCTGAAACTGGTTTATGCTTACTCACAATTGACCCGAACGATGAAAGTAGGGGATGGAAAGTATTTGCGCGGCGATCGGATGTCTTGTTGGGCCGTTTAAATGGAATTGCGCAGGAGTCTAATATCTATACATAACTATATGTGGGCGCTTGTGCGGGGTTTGTGCCTGCAAATGGCAACAGATTTCGATTAATGACAGGTTTGGTTTGGTGAATGTTGGTGACATGGAGCACACCCACATTAGGGGTATTCTCGAAGTCTTGCACGATGCACGGATTGCACGAAATGCAAAAATACTATTCCAAATTTCGAAGAGTACGAGAACACCCCATTGCAAAGTGGTAGCATGCATGGGGAGCAAGCAGCGAAATTATGTATCAAATACAATAACAAGAGACAGCAAAAAAAAAATTAAGTGAGCGAGATGAGAGGAATGAGAGAAATATGTAGCAATTCCAACAACCAAACAACTAGCACAGGGTCGCTATTATCTTGCTATGCTATTTTGCAAAATATATACATGGGTTTCGACGTTGCATATTTTGCAGCGATAGGAAATGTTGTTTCCCATGAATTTTCTTGTTGTGTGTTTGCAATTTATGCAATCCGTGCTACGTGCAATGGCTTTGCAAGATTTGGAGAATACCCCTATTAATGCTTTCACTGTTGCCTGCTGCGGAGGCTGCTGGCAGTTAAATGTCGATATGTGTTTTGTGTTTGTTACTCATACGCCATGTACACTGCTTTAAGTGATCGGATTTGAAAAAGCTGGTACATATTTGATTTGAGTTCCAAGCAGGTATTATTGGTCAGTAGAGTTTAATAAATTACGATTTGTTTTGCGGTATTTCGGTTTTGCGAATGCTAAACCAGAAACCTGAAGGCATATGTAATAAATTTTTTTTCGAACTCGTACACATTTTTATTTAATGAGCAAACATTATTTCGGTAGAAGTATAATGCAAGCAAATTGCTGCTCCATTAATGCTTAATGTAGTGTGCTGAGTGCTTCATTAATGTATAGCAATAACTAAGTGGAATGTTTCTCTGGAGAATCTATGGTTTTTGTATGTTTCTTTGACTGAAAAATTTAAGATTTGGTAGTTATTTCGGCGTCTTATTCGCTTCGAGACGTTTTTCGATGCCGCCTAGGCCAAGTTTGCCTAGAAATTCCCTGTTTGGGACGGGTCTGTATAACTAGTAAAAATGTTATATTTTTCCAGAATACGGGATGAGTTAACTTGCAATCCCGATTCCCATTGGCCTGTCTCTCTTAGCCGAAGTGCAGCAAGAGGTGCCATCTACTGACTTGCCAGATCTAGTGTCAGAAGTTCCAAGAATACATTTAGAGCCTTATTTGGCGTTGTCCAGATTGCTACTTTGCTGAGTATATTAATATTAGAGGCCCGTGGATCTGCGGATCGACGCAAAGGCCACAACGCGTGAACCATCTTGATACATCGCGAAGTGCCCTATGCATCCAGTTGCACAGAGTGTGCGGGAACTGCCCCTATACGCTATGGCTACGTCATCCGCATAAGCGACAACCTTGACGATTCCCCATTTCATCTTCACAAGAGGGAGTTAAGACTGGTTTTTCACTATGTCATATTCTGACGCTAAAATTGGTCGTCATATTTTGACGCAACTTTATCTCCTTTATCCATACCTTTACCGATGATATTATGGGCCAAAAACTGAAAGATAGCCGATTTCGCAGCGCATGTGCACGACTAAAAACCTATCCTGATCCAAATCAAACGATTAACCGCTTTTCGATCCCATTTGGCAATGTGTTTTCATTTATTTGACTACAAATGCCACTGACATAGTGAAAACCAGCCACCAAACCAGGAATGTGATAAAAGGCAATCTAAGAGCATAATAACTCCCTTTAGACAAACTCTAAAGTGATTAATTCCATAAAAAGTCTAAGGTTGGAGTTATCTTTAAAAGGAAAGCTCAATAGATCTAAGTTTGTATGTATGTACGTCGCAACGCATGTATTTCCTCAACTAACCAGCTAAATTTTTTAGGCGACCTCTCAATATTTATTAGGTCACCCTTTTTTTAAATTAATTTTTAGACCAGTAAACTTACTTATCGGTACTACTTAGCGGTACTACGAGCAATTTTTCAAACGGCATGAAAATTTTCAGTATGTAGTCTGCAGTTCCTCAGATGAAAGTCCACAATGTTTATATAACTTATGGCTGGATCTGAAGAAGTAACTCGCCATCGGTGAGGTAGTCACTCAAGAAAACCTCAAATATTCAGAGGTAATTTTAGAGTTTGTATAAACCAAGCAACCACAGAGCGGGCAGCTAAAACTCACTTTAATTATGATAAAGAGATAAACATGGAGACTTTTAGCTTCCAACTTACTTTACTTTCCATATATTACATCTGTCCGACCACAGAATTGGAGAAAATATTCAAAATTGATTCAGTAAAGAATGCCTTCTCTAGCATCTTAACTCTGAAAGGCAGATGTCTTGGAAACACAATTAGACAGTGAGGTAGATGACATTACAAATGAAGACATCCGTAACGATGGAGAAGTACTCGAGAAATTTTAACTTGGCTAAAAGAGCGTGGAGGGTAATAAGAAACCAGACAATTTAGCCAGACCTTCAAAAAAGAGAGCAAAAACAGAAAGAGGCATTATGTATGTGCAAGAGAATCACTGGTGTAACACAAGGCGGTTCTACAGGTCGCACTATCTACTGATAGAGTTATGAGTTGTGGTCACTGCAACTCCCTTTGTTGCATTGTATTGAGAGAGCAGATCACTCGGAGCAATATCACGAACATGGAAACTATGTGGCCAGGAATTTTTGCTTTTAAGATATTCGTATTTGACTTGAATTTTTACATATTGATATAAAATTTTTCTGCAACTGATTAAATTCCCTATAATTACTACACATTTTTACACAGCTCTTTGTGGCCACAAACGATGTAGCTGTAGTGTGCCGTTGGCAGAAATTCGTTTGTTTATATCGATGCAACTTTTTCAAATACATATTCAAAACACTGATGGTAGACTTTAGTTTCAGAAATATCTGCAGTTTTGTACGTGACATTCCTCTTCGTTAAGCTAAATACACACACAAAGGCAAACGGTTTTAGGAGTCGATATACGTACATACATTGCAAAGGTATGTATATCCTTTGAATTTTCAGGTATGCATGTATATGCATGTGGATTTGAGTGCTGGGTATGCCATTGTGCTGAATAGCAAATCGTATTTTCGTTTGGCAGCAGTGATTGCTTTGTTTCCTGTAGCTGAGTGCCGCATTGGCAGTCAGCGGCTAGCTGTCAGAAAATCAACGAGCACAGGTGCAAATTCGGATTAGAGTGAGTGTTACGCACGAGAGTGTGCGGAAATGATTGTATTCGAGAGCGACATTCGAACGTTTGTTTTTGTAGATATACATATGTACTACACACATAACTATATGCTGACTTTTGTGAGGATAGAAAATGTGAATAACTTTGTTTATTTGAATACAAATATCAACATTTGTTGGACTTTCAATTCACACACTATTTTTTTTTTTTTTTGTATTGAGAGTGCGATTTTGTTTATGCTGAACAAAAATGTTAATTATTTCAGATGATGTTTTTGTTATACTTAAACTAAAATACACGTTTATATAAGTAGATACATATATGTATACGTAAGAGAACAGACTAGTATATAGTTTTCATTGTTTTAGCAGACATACCTGTTGAACTTGCATTCCTGTTTCTGTCACTTTTGTTGTGTTGATATAAAGATGAAAAAATTCATAAGCTGGAAAGATAAGAAAGGTGATACAATTTGGTTTAGTAAGCTTCATTTCAAACAAAAATTCAAAATTTATGAAAAAATCATTAAAACACTATATATACTTTGCAAAAAATACTCGGAGATAAATAATATGAAGAAAATAGGAATTAAATATATAGAATAGTGAATTTGATTAAAAAAAATATGATATACAGTTTCACGAAAGCAATTTAAAAATAATTATTTTTTTTCAATTTAAATTTAATACAAAAACTGACAGATGAGTAAAAATAATTTTTCAATAATAAAAGTCCATTTATTTTTTTACAGGCAATTTTGAAATTTATTCCAAAAACAAAAACAATTACAAATCTCTAAGTCATGTTAAAAAGTTTGAAATTCAAGACATTTTTTTTAATTTTTTTTATGAAAATTGGAAATTTATTTAAATTTTAATTAAATTAAAAATTAACAAAACAAAAAAAAATAAAAATTAAAAATTAAAAATTTTATTATTAACCCAAACCCAAACAAGCTTAAAATCGGAATATTAAAGTTGGTAATGATTAGCAAGCTTTCAGAATACAAATATGTTAAATTGAGCACGTGGAAATATCATAAATTAATGCTTAGAATGTTTTTTGTAATAATAACTTTTTTAGTTAAAAATAAAATTTTTTAGTATGAGATTTTCGGTGGTTAAAAAATTTCGTTATCTAATTTTGAAGTTTTTTTTTGAAATGTTAATAAAATTCGTAAGGGAACTTAAATGAACAAATTTATATGGGCAAACATTTTTAGTATAGATCTGTCCACATCTCTCGTTAAAAGGATTCGGTAAATTTGCTCGATTTTAGTGTATTAAATTTTATTATATGTAAATAAAAAAAAAGTACATATCGCTCATTTTCTTCAATAACTCAAAAAGTCAAAAACTGGAGAATGTTTTCAATTTACACATATTGAAAATGAATACATACATACCATAGAAGAAGAGGCAACTGTCATTTCTGGATATTGAACTGGATTTTTGTTTTTTTTTGTCATTATACTTTTGTAGTAGGTGGGTGATATGTACATATGTATCTGAGAATTGTGATTGGAAAAATTTAATTAAAAAAAAAAATTTTTTGTTTAGTTTTGCAATTTTTTTTCAAATTTCAAAATCAGAGTTGCTTAAGTTTTTTTGTTTTTAAATTTGAGGCTTATGTTCAAAATTAAAGAAAAAATTTAACAAAATTAAAAAAAAAAATGTTTAATTTTAAAACCAGTTTTTTAAGATATTGTTAATTTAAATTTTTGGTTAACATTTTTTAACTTTATATTCTTTTTTAACGATGTTATTTGTTTTTGGTTTTATTTTAAAAATTTGATTTTCATTAAACACATTTGATTTTTCTAAATACATGGCAACTTTTCAAAAAAATGTTTTATTGTCTTCCAAGGCTTATTTTTTGTAATTTCAAAGAAATTAAAAAGAAAATATTTTTTGGTGCCGCTTTTATTGGTTTAAAAAAAATATTGTTTACTTTGGTTAAATAAAAATAAATACTAATAAAAAAATATTTCTTCGAGCTCATTTCATAATTTCCTTAAAAAGTTATTATTTGGGCTAGTTTTATAAATTTGAAAAAAAATTGTATTTTTGTTCCAATCCTTTATTTTTCCTTTTTATAATTTCAGTGAGTTCATTTTCTTAAAAAAGCAATGAGTTCCAAATATTTTCATTATATTTTCGAACTTAGCATTTCTTAAAGTTTTTTTCTGAAGTTTTAGTTTTCTCAAATATCAAAAATATCCAAATAAATTTATATTAACTTGAAACAAAATTTCAGCCGAAGCTATTGCAATAATTTCTCTTCGTTACTAGAATTTAGCAGTTAAGTTCATTTCTAGCTAATGCAGTTTTGTAGTTACGTAAAGAAACGTTCCTACTTTTTCGCTACTAGTTCTTAAAACTATGTAAATTACTAAAACAACAACAGTACGGTGTTAATATCACAATCAACGCTCAATGCTTACAATAAACAATGCAACCACGCCACACCGACTAATTAATTTCGGAATTCTGCTGAAAACCGCAAAATCTCATTATAACTTTCGGCCTACACATATACACATATACACTCATACACATGCACGCAAGCACATAAAACAAATCAGTTGCCACCTTCCCGCCAACATACAGCACATTGTTGCACATGTCTGCTACACCTTATTTGTAGAGTCCGCCTCACCCTCCACGGACAGAAGCCGAATAATAACCGCACATTGCTTATGCAAGTCTACCTATGTATGTATCAGAATGAATGAAATTTTCGCATACCCAATTAAACTTTTGCATACACTTAGGCGCTGTTACAGTACCACCCCAGAACTATGGTGGCGCTGGTAACATGAATATCAGCAGTGTAACATGATTTTGCTGCTTGGGGCGAGGATGGTGAAAACTAAAAGTTTAATACGAGTATAATGTAATTTCAATTTGATGGATATGCATAAGTAAGTGCGAAATGAATGAATTGCAGTAACAAAAAAAAAAAAAATGAAGAGAACCTTCTCATAAATTTCGTTACATTGAAGAACTTTTTTTTGCTTTTTTCTTTTTTATTATGCTGTAACAATAACAATCAACTTATGTAAGTAATCAAAAAAGTGCCAGCGGCCAGCCACACACCTGAGCTACTACTTTGTGTTGAGTTGAGCTGTGTGTCGATGAGGGAGGTGATGGTGAGGAAGAAAAACTAAGACTTGAGCAAATAAGCTGAACAAAAGGTGTCGAACAAAGGTCAAATTTTAGCACAAAAGTCTAGGAAGTATAAAAGAGGTGCAAAACATGGGATTTATTGTTATTGGTTTTTTTTTTTGCTTTTCTTGGGACTACACACACTTACATACATATGTATGCAAATATACCATAATCTGTATATATGAAGGTTGACTAGCAAAGTGGTTCTTTTGTAACTTCTGCTGAAATTAATTTGAGACTTTTAAGCCGTCGTAAAATATGTATGTTACCGCATGAACCATTTTCGATAATTCTTTTCCTTTAACGGAAAGATGGAATCCCAAGGGTGGTCTCATACTACCAGTGAGCGGAACATTGGGTATTGAAGAAATTAATGAAAATATTAAAGTTTTACATGAGCATAGAATTCGGCTCTATATTTTGCTTAAAAAATACTTGTTAATTGCTAGCTCTTGGAACCCTTCACGATTAAAGAAATGTGGTTTCAGTGGGTAACATTTTTTAAATAAAAAAAATTTTTCCTTGAAATGTGTGATTTTAAATTGCATATGAAAACAGATATTTTGAATTTCATGTTTCAGCAAAAAAGAAAGCAGGTTTTTTTTTTTAGAATACACAAACACCATAGTTTTCCCAAATTTTGGTTTTAAATCAGATTTTTGATTTTATTTATTTTAAAATAATAAATTGTTATTTTTAATTCTAGAATAAATTTTGTTTTGAGTACTAAAGAAATTTTTTAAATAAAAAAAAAATTATTACATTTTTTTACAAACTTCTGGTTTGAAGATTGATATTGTATGGTAAATTTCCAATATTTTTTCATAATCTGGTTGTTCACACTTGTCTGGTTATCAGGTTATCTGGTTAAAAATAAATTTTCTGTAGTGTATTTCGTTGTTGTACAACAATAAAATACACTACAGAAAAATTATTTTTAAGCAGACAACCTGATAACCAGGCAAGTGTGAAAAACCACAATATTTTTTTTTACAAATGTAAACGTATTTAACTTTGATGCATTAACTTTCAAAAACAAATTTTAATAAACAAATTGTGTTATAAGTATTTTCGAAATCAAGAATTTTGAGTGCCACAAATGTTTACTTTCAAAAATAAGTAAAAACATTTTTTTTTTCAAAATCCTAGTTTTTAGTTGTTAATTTTTTTTTTGTGGTTTGGGAACCCTTATTTTTAACACATATTAGGATTTCGACGATTCGAATTTTTTAACTTTAAAATATTTTAAATTTTAGAAAAAGTCGAATTTGATTGAAAAAAAAATCTGTTAAAAAAGTACTTGCAGCTGGTTTCACCAGCAATTTAAATGGAAAATGATCTTTTATTTTCTGTCAATTTCCATATAAGATTCAAAAAACTAAAATCATTTTTCAATTAAATTGCTTTCGTGAAATTGACTGTTAAATTTTGAAATTTTTGATTCATACTGAAATTTCGGAATTAAAAAAAAAAATTAAAAATGCTTAAACTACAGAAGTAAAATGAATATAAATTTTGGTTAACTTTTTTAACAGCTTTGAAGACTTGCATTCTAATATTTTCTGTTTAAAAGTTTTTTCCTACCAAAATTTAAAAAAATTGTATATTATAAGTTCATACTGAGTATTGAACTATCAAGAAAACTTTAATCTACATATAAAAACATTCAAGTAATGAAAATAAAATTTATTCTATCAAAATTTCTTAAACCTGTTTATGGCTCTCAAGATATTACGTATGCAGGTATATTTGGTACAAAACTTTTATAAAGGTTTTTCTCCGAAATTAACTACTAAGCTTTAAAAGTAGTTATAATTAGATAGGTACCTGGGTTTCAAAATTTCCTAATTAATCTAATCTAATTTATCTAAAAAAATTTGAAATACGATTATGTTAAATTGTATTAAATTAAATTAATTTAAATAAAATTAAATTGATTAAAAAAAATTAAATAAAATTTAATAAAATAAAATTAAACTAAATTGAATAGAATGAACTGAAATACATTTTTAAATTTCTGATTTTAAAATTGCCTCTTTTTGAATAATAAAATTGAAATTGGAAATTCCCAAAAAAAAATAAAAACTATTACAACAAGTAGAAAGCCCCCTTCAAGCACAAATAAACTAGTAAACATAAAAATGGGGTTTTTTCGAAATCCAGTCTTTAGAATTTCGCAAAAAAAATTTTATAAATGTACGCGTTTAAACTAAAATTTTTCGAAGTCATCCCGCCTTATCTTTTGGTGCAGGTTTTATATTGATCTATTGATAGT